TACACACTACATTTTTCAGTGCAACTAAAATTAATTCTAAATAGCGTTTGTAGAACTTTCTTATTATCTTAGTATGTACTATAATAATTGTACTCCGAACCTGTAAATAATGTTCACAATAGAATGTGACTGGTGTATAGGTGATTACGTCATTAACTCATAACTTGACGTACCACCCTCATCACACTACCGTCGGGAAACGCCGCGGGAGAAGCGTTTCGTCTGACTGGAAGTGATGATATTCACAAGTAAACGTGTATAGGGGTACAAGATTTGCTTTGTCAAGTGTCAACACATCACCGCTCTGTACAAAACTTAACGCATTACTTGCGAAAGTTGACGCAAAAACCGTACCTCCCCAGTCCCCGCACCAGTAGTATGTATGTGTATAAAAATTAAAAAGTATTATATTATTGGATCATAGATAGAGACGATAGAGTACGTATAAAAACTAAAGACACATACCTACAATAACCGACAAACTACAACCTCATTACCTAAACATCATTACCTATATTATTATTGTTACAGTCATGATTGAAATATACAAGGTTATTTCACATATACCACTTCTCAATCAAATATTTTATGATAAAAACAAAAATGGCAGCGCAAAGGGAGCCAATAATAATCAAGTGTGGATGCGTGGAATTTTAAATTTGTTAGCTTTTGTCAGCGTATTTTTGATGATAATAAAAATTGATATTTGTGATATCCCTTTATGCCAGGGGTGGGCCCAGGGGGGAGGTCAGCTGACCCACAGTTGTTTTCCCAGTTAAATGTCCCTCGAAATAGCAAACTATATAAACATTTTTTTATTTGAAAAATTATATACAGTGGTGGATTTAGAGGAGGGGCATGTGCCCCCTGTCAATTTTCTGTCGACAATTTGTTATGTAACATTGTAACTACGAGTATATCATATAAATGAAAAATACAGTTAATAAGAATAATATTAACGACTATTAATTATTATTTATTATAATCATCATTGATAGTATGTATGTATTATTAATTAAAATTATACAACTTATATTTGCCCCCTCCCCTATTAAAATATCGAAGAGTATTGAAGTAAAATAACGGGTACGAAATCGTGCTTAAACTTATCAACGTATAATGTACCTACCTAAATTCGAAAAACACAAGTATAAAAATATGTTAGATATATTATATAAGATTTTATGAAGTTGACATAGATGAAATTGTTATAGAAGTGGGATACCGTTCATTATATCTAGTTTACCAACAAATGACAAAACTATTGAAACTGGGGTAACTGGACCTTTAAAATTAAATGAAGTATTGAAGTTCATGATATCATGAGACATGGTTTCTTCGTATTCAAATGTATATACTTTGTATACAATTTTTTATACACTTCCAGTCAGCAGTGCAACTGCAGAAAAAAGTCTTAGCCGTCTAAAACTTCTCAAAACATGCCTTCGCTCAACTATGACTGAAGATCGGCTATCAAATTTGGCTAAATTGAGCATAGAAAGCAACATAGCTCAAACCATTTTGATAATAAGTACATAATTTGCAATAATGAAAAAGCGCAGAAAATTATTGTCATGTTCTAGTTCTTTACTATTATTTTCATGTAGGTATTATAAAATATAAATTTTATAAATGTATTATTTTTGACTTTTGTATTGTATTAGAATTTAGAACCACCTTCTATTCTTCTATAACTCTTGTGAAAATGAAATCAGTCATTGAAAACTAAAATAAATATACTGCAGATATACGTATAAAAATAAAATAATAAATATGTATAATATAATCCCATCTAATGATTTAAATATGTCAGTAAATTTTTTAATTGAATATAAATTTCAACGCAACAAATAAAAATAACAATTAATTAAATATAGCTATTAAAGTTTGTAAGTAAATTTTACAATTTACTTAAAAATATGTTATGACTCATGTAATATAGTTATATTGAATGTTGGTACCAAAATGTGATGTAAATAACTCATAAGTCATAAGGTAAATCGCGAGCGCATTTGTAATACCTAGTTGCTTGAAGTTTCTACACAGTGGCCTCTCGTAAGTAAGGCAGACCCACAGTTCTAAGATCCTGGGTACGCCACTGCTTTACGCAGCCATTTTGTTACTGATGATAACAATCCGAGTCGATATGCAATAACCTGTGTCCTGTATATTTCAACCATGGTTACAGTAAAAAAAAATAATAATTACAATGATTATGTCCAATATACAATGTGCAAATTGTTAACCGTTTACGTACAATTTTATCAGTGAAATCAGCTGTGCATTAGAGTTATCAATATTTACACCTGCAGCTGCAGTATACTGTACTAATTAGTAATTACTATCGTCTATATTAAAATAATATGATTATGAAAACAAAATCAATCGATGGTGAATTTAGAGTGAACGCCGTGTAGGCAGGGGTGGATCTAGGGGGGAGGGTCAGGAGGTCAGCTGACCCACAGTTAATATTTGCTGATCAAATTGGACCCTCGAATACACATACAGTATAAATTAATTTTTTTTTTTTTGTATATACCTAGTACACAAGTATAAATTTCTAATATGGTTTTAATAAGCTGCCCCTTGAAATGTCCTGATCCACAGTTTCCTAATTCTGGATCCGCTCCTGCGTGTAAGTACTAAGTATACTATATGTTTGGGCCCGACGCATATATAGTGACACACCTACAACCTAAAACTATATAGTTTGCTTAGGACGCATTCAGAATTTTCGTCCCCTGTTGTTAATTTTAATGTATTTTTTGAGAGTAAAAAATAAAAATTAATTTCATAAATTTTGTAAAATTAAAAGGAAATTAATGAAAGAAAAATATAAACAGTTATTTACTAACTAAATCGTAATAACCAATAAGCAAGAATGGGCATCAACAAGTTAAAAAGTCAAGTTACTTCTAAGTTCAAACAAAACTAAAGTTACATAACGATTTAATTTTTTTTCAAGCAACTTCTAACTTAACGAATTACATTGTATTCCATTTTATGAAGTAAATTACTTTTATTGTCAAGTTAAGTTATTTTTTTTTCCTAAAACCATAATATATTAAAAATATATTGAATATTCTATATTCTATATTTTGTAAAATGTAATTTAATTAATAGTAATCGGAAATGTCTAATATTATTTATGAAGGTAGGTAGTAGGTGCCTACCCAAAATATTATAAATACAAATGTATAATGGTTATAAAATAGCATATACACCGAATACCTAATATATTATTGTTATAAGATTATAGAAAATTATAGGGGTATTCGGTGAGAAAAGAAAAATATTACCAGGTATTTACTCAGTATCCTATACACGTCTTAAAGTTTGTATACTCATATTTTATTAATCATTATTAATTAATTAATAGTTATTACTAGTAATTATTATTATATTACTATTCATTCATAGAATTATGCAGCTAAATTATATAATATTGGATATTATATTTGTCGGTAATTAATTAAATTCCAATAATTAATTTTATTATTATAATTTAGTATAGATCATAGATGTAACTTGTGGATCAATGGGTAAAAAAATACATAAAATTAATATAATTATTTTGTTGGATTTCACCAACAAGTGTTTTCTTATTTGTACAAATGTTAAGTATACATAACAAAAACTGTTTTGCGCGGGATAGAACCACTCAGAATGTAGTGATATTTACGACTAAATTGATATTACACAATATAGTTAAGAACATTATCTATGAAATATCATGTTTTTATTTTTTTGAAATCGCTTGTACGAAAAAAGTTCTTATTATTTCAAAATCCATTTTTTTGTGTTTTTCAAACTTTAATAACTTTTTTTGTAGTTCCGATATCGAAAAATTAAAACGATTTTTCACAGCCAAAGTTGTAATGTTGTATATACATTTGTAAGACGGATACAACACAAGACGCGGGTGTAGCTTCCTCTTAAAGTCTGTAAGTAGGTACTTACAGCAATTATTTTAATACAATATACATATTTTATTAAATTAGGTTAGTACTATTTTATATTTAGTTAGCTTTAAAAAAAGATTTAGGTAGTTACTAATTATTATTGCTTTATGAAAAACAATAATAACTGATTTTTAACTAATCGTTAAGTTACTTTTATTTTCTAATTAAAAAAAAAGTAACCTAACTTTAAACTTAACTTACATTATATCAATATTAACTAAGCCAGTGAAAAAAAATTAGTTAACTTGTCCAGCCTTGCATTAATAAATAAAATCAAAAATAAAGATCAACTCAAAATTTAGAAACTATAGAAATAATAAAATATAATTGAAGTACGGATACTAACCTATATGACGTAGTAAACATTAATATTTATTTTTATAATGATTATAGAATAATCTAAGGTCATAATAGTAAGGTTATGTAATAATTACCTATACAGTATACAGCTTTATTACCTATATATTGTACCTATAGCCTTATAGATATTTGTATTCATATTTATAATATTATAATAATTATAAAAGCAATTATGTCCATACACAAAAATATGCCATTCTCACAATAGGACCGTGCGGGGCAATCTCCAACTAACACCCTTAAACATGTCTCTGGAGTCACACGAGGATTTATAAATTTAAACAATATTATGTGACTATTATATTATGAGAGTGAGACGGATTCTGTACCTATACCTACTATTAAATCACGTCTCATTCACTCGCGTAGTCACATTATAGTATTATACACGTAAATATTATTTTATTACATAGTATAACAAAAGGAACTGTCCAATGTACGCAATAATTAGGTACTAACCTCTATCTACTAATAACTAATTAGATATTATGTAATAACTTTTTTTTATAATATAAACATTCAAAATAAAATGTATAATACAAAATGAATAAATATTGATTGGAACAAAAGTTATTAGATAGAGTTAGACAATTTTTCTTAAATGTTTATTGTTACATCCTGTATTCTATATATTTGTATAATACTATAATGGGTATTAAAAAATGAATTAATTTATACCTTTCATGTTGCGTTTGTTTTTACGCTTTGTCTTTTTACGCTTGTGATCGCCGTTGAATATTTTCTTCGACGACAAGTAAATTGCTCTTTTCACGATGTAATACAGACCGAAAAATATCATAATCCGAATCGGCGCCCGCCAAAATCCAACGGCACTAATAATGCGAGCCAGTTTTATTACACGCGTATGCCCGTCACTACGAACGAAACCAATACGTTTTTTTTATTCGTAAATATCGTTTAACGTCATAATACCGTTTACCGTGCGTATTGTTTCTTTAAACGCTTATTCTGATACATAAAAATTTAAAAAAGATGCAACTATACTATATTATAAGTATATTATATTGTTTCATTTGAGTAATAATAATAAAATATTATCTATGACGTCGACGTGGACGTCCGGATAGCATATATTATTACTATATATTATTAATACGCAGTGGGGCGTGTAAAGAGGCGCACTTATACGCTGTAGATAGCGACAATATTTTAATAACGGGCGCGGACGCGGACACTGTTTCGTTGTACAATAATATGCAATACGCGTAATGAAAGCGAGTGAAAAAAAATCAAAATACAAGATGTTCGATAAAGACTGAAAGTATATTATAATATTAAACACTCAATAAAATGTACTATAATTAATTATAACGTGACACGTCGGATACGGTTCATAATATAATAAAATTATTCTTCATATTATTATACGTATAATAATATGCGTTATTGCGTATTATAATATTGGCTCGACGCAACGTTAATAATAATGTAATGTATTGTTGTGTTCACGAACAAAGGAGAGATCGAAAATCGAAAAAACAAACTAAATGTCACTGGAGAACAAGCGACGAGACGACAAGACGGCGCGGGACGACTTATCGTCATATATTGTTCCGAGATGGTCGGATGCCAAAGCAGATGTGTCGACGGGACCGCGAACGGAACAGCCCATTGGTCGTCGTATTAATAGACGTGTGAGTGTGGTACGTTCATCGCGTGCGCTGCAGGGGGATCGAGTCGTTTATAAATGATTATATTTATTTTTTTCACTTATGAAAGAAATATTTACAATATAATAAAGTGAATAAACTTAAATAAATAAAAAATAAATAAATTAATAAATTTATTATTTATTAAATAATAAATTTAATTATTTATTAAATAATAAATTTTTTTAATTTAATAAACTTAAATACATGGTATGAAAAGTAAATTTGATAACATAATTCAAAAAGTCACACAAGTTGGTACACTGTTGGTACACAAGATACAGAATATAAGACTATAACGACGGGAAAACTTTAGGCACCCATTATAATATTATATAGAAGCATTTCTCTGATTAGTTATTACTTTAATATTACGATTTACGAACCATTACTTATGGTGCACATTATATAATTAGTATGTAATAATTATTCCATTATACATTTATGTACCTATTGTACCGAGGAATTTATGTATTAAGCCGCCGCACCTTAGTTTCTTCTATATTATATTGAAATAATAAAAATAAGGCTAGGACTCTAGATATGCCCAATTCATTAAACTTTTGGGGATTTTCAAGAAGAAGTGTGGTTGGGGTTTTGAAAAGAGATCTTTCAAAGAGATTATTTCGTAACTATTATATTCAGGGGTGCATTTAAGGGGGGGGTACATTAGGCTGGTGCCCATCCCTATTCACTGTATTTTGTACTTTTTATTACTGAGAGTATTACTTTCTCTTACTAATTAAATGTTATGTTTCTATCAAACACATTTACCTACCTATTTTGGTTATTTTGAATTTTTAGTTTGTGCCTCCTTCCCCCATAATACATTTCTAAATACGCCCCTGACTAAATTACTTGAGTATTATAGACGGGTATTGAATAACTATTGTAAGACAAACTAAAGAAGATTATAGATATTCTCCACTCTCATAGTCTCATGTCTCGCCTTGTCGAAAGAGCCAATGCAGACTATAAAGTGTATTATAAGTTATAACGTATTTTGTGCACTGAGTATATTATAAGGTACCTATGCGACTACGCCTACCTATCTCAAAATTACAAAATATATCCCCGGTATGGTACGCAGCAGTAGGGCAAGTCGAATGGGAGCTTAAAATAAACGTGTGGGTTGGATACGTTTTATTCTATTGTTCAAACATCAAACATTGAAATAATAATGCAGAAGTTTTAATAGTTTTAAGATTGCATTGAGCAAACTAAACATTGACACTTTTTATTTAAAATATGAATAATAATCGTACGTAATCGTGCAATTACTATTATAATATTAAGTATAGATAGCACATATTATTATCTACAGTTGGGAAATTGGGTTCGGAGGATTATACCGTTTGAAATCCCGTGTCAATCACTTATTATGACTAATTCATAATTTATTCGAAAATAAATATCACACATATATTCCAGATTATGTATTTGACCCATTAATTCAAATTTCAAATAAAATCCATGTTTTAATTGGTCGTTTTAGATTATAGCGACCTATCTATAGATATTTTAAAACCCTTCTGTAAACAAAAACATGTTCCTATATATTTTTAACTAAATTTATTTATTTATACAAATATGCGTAACGAAATTGTATGATTATGAAGAATCTCAAAAATGTTTATTGTATATGATGAAGATAATAATCTAATAAACGAGTTCACATTTTTAATTTTTTTTTTCTTGTTTCATCATAGGCTATGGAGGGAAAATTGATTGAACTGACGGAAGTAATTTAAAAGTAGAAATTTATTATTTGACATAGGTGTCTAGTGTCTACTGTCTATTGACTATGCAGGGTGGGTCGAAAATAGTATAAATTAAATTGAAAATGAAAACAATACTCAATAATATTGTCGTTTTTTGTTAAGGCTGATTGTTTTTTATAAAAACGGTATGCATGCTATTATTCTATATCTAAATAGAAATGCATTATACAAGTAATCTCTGTTACAAAGAATAGAACTTTTACTTGAATTTAATCTTCTTGTATTTTTCATAAGTACAAAATATATACAATTATACAATAGTATATTATATTATTATTAATACATTCTATTAACCTATATTACCTATACGGCTATACAATATAATACTATCTTTATCTACATTTTGTATTAGAATTAGACTATAAGAGTATTGAAACATAATTAATATTATATAACAAATATAATATGTATTAAGATTTAGGTACCATAAAACGTATAAGAAAATACATAATTTAACTAGGTAGGTACCTAGTGAATATTTTTCATAAATCATAATCATAATAACTTACCAGAATATAATTATACAGACATAACGATATAATTAATTGTATTGTGTCAACTGTCAACACAATAATATATTAATACACAATACTATTTTTGACTTCGAGCAAATCTAGGTAGTTACTTTAGTAGTTTTATAACAATATATATGTTTTAAAAATTGTTATTTCGTAATATTTTTAAATTTTAAACACATGAAAAATGTATATGGAATATTAGAATATCGATGATTTGTTAAAATATTTTTGCTGAAGCCTGAAACCCTGTACAATTTATTATTTTACAGGCGCTTTCAACATTTAATGCTAGCAGTTTTAATACGATTCCATATTTTAAAATTCTAAAAAGAACTCCACTCAGTATATTAAAAACATTTAATGCTTAAATATTTTAAAATAAAACCCTTAAATGTTAATACTGCCAACATTTGCAGTTAGTATATGGTCAGAATGGAAATAATAAAATTGTATTTAAAATATTATAAGTAATTAGTAAAGACTTTACTTAATAGTGTTCATAGTTCATACTTTCAAAGGAACATTGTTGAACCATTTTTATAATAATAATATAATATATTTAATGTACCTACTTATATAAATATACATAACCATAATATCAATTGTATATTATAGGTAATAAATAATGATACAATAATACAGGCTTAAACTTATCGCTTTTTTATTATTATTTAATATCAATTGATTGAGATTGTGTACATGATTAAGTGCATAAAAATAATTATAGAACAGATAAATTATGATAACTCAAAAAAATATACCTATACAAAATAATAATTCGATAAATCGTTTATTTTATTAAATAATAATGATAGTTAATTAATTAATAAATTTACTTTAACCAATATTTGGTAAAAAATGTTTTAATAAATAAATTAAATTCTAATATTTTTTTCTAGTATATTATAAAAATGATGTATAGTGAAAATATGAAGCTTAAATGTATACCATATGTTAACATAATACAAAATATAAAAATAATATTATGGTACTGTGCCAAATGTTGGATTATTTTTATCCATATTTCCATTTTTCATTTGGCGCGAAATAAGAGCGGGAAAATATAAGAATACAACAAAATATTTTATTATATTTTATATTTATGATCGTAGGCAGTAAGTACTAATTTAAGCGCTCTTCATTGGTAATTGGTCATTGGTATAATGTTACAACTGTCAACTTATAACATTTAAGTAGGTACCTATATTTTGGTAATCTAATACAGGGGCGGAACTAGGGGGGTGAAGCCGGGGATTGATCCCCGGGGGTAAAATTTTAGTGGGCGTAATTTTTCTTTAGTTCTTTATTTAATGCTTGGTGATAGAAGTTAAGAAAACATTTTTATTTCACATTATTTGTTTATGATGTTGTAGTGATGACGTTGGAATTAATGAAAAAAAAAAATAAAGTTAATGGTAAGATTATGAATAGATTCGTATTAGTATACTAAGTATATACTGGTATACTGGCATTAGCATACCTACTGCAAGCATATACAACTAATATACTATAATTATTAAGATTCTGAGTGAAAATGTAACTAGTACCTAACTATACCTAGGCATTTATTGATGCTGTGTTTTCGTTAAAATTTCTGATACCTACACAATAACTGTTATAAGATTATCAATCAACGTACGATACGTATAATATTATATCTGTATATTAAAAATTATGTTAATATATTATAATAGTAATATATTTACCAAGATAGTTATACATTTGTTTATGTTTAAAAAAAAAGATTTGATTTTAAATATTTACTTTTTCATTTTTTCTATTATAAATTATTTAATTAAAAACAATTTTTTACTGGCCTAAATTGTGTAC